ATATATATATATATATATAATGAGAAGAATCAAATTTGAATCATAATAAAATAATAATCGCATATCAAGATATATGATTGAATGTCAATTTCAGATCGGTGTGAGTGTACTCTAATTCTGCGATGCGACTTGAAATTGCAAAAAACAGGTCATGCAAGCGAGCGACAATAAAAAAAAAGGGAAGTAAGCATTTTCGCGCGAGTCTTCGTTTAACCAGTGGGTAAAACCCGTTATTAAGATTACGGCTGGGACGCATGAGTAATGACATCCTCTTTATTTTCAACGGCGCTTCGAAGAAGCGAGCGTTACTAGCTGATAAATTACCTTCTTCACTAATTGCTCGAGCCTTCGTACCGCGGCATTTTGCTTACGTGCGTTTCATAGCTCAGAGGCTGCAATGAAGATAGAGGATAGCGCCAAGTAAGGGGACGAAAAAGAGAGAAAAAAAAGATAAAGTAAAAAGTGCAATGCGAAAGGTTGCGAAAAGAATGCTCTAAGAGAAAAAGAAAGAGCGAGCAAGTGAGAGTGAGAGAGAGAAAGAGGAGAAGAGAATAAAAGAAGAAAAGGGAGGAATGAAGGTGAATGAGATGATACGAAAAAGTGTTTGTACGAGAAGTGAAAACGAGAAAATGCATAGTGAAAAATAGGAAATGCACGGAAATGAGAAATAGGATTGTTCAGAAGCAAGGGAGAAGAAAAAAAGAAGGGCAACATCAAATATAGGAAAAGAGAGATGTAATCAATGACATGGGTTAGATAAAAGTGCTATTTTTCACTTCATGGAAACAAGTTGACAATTGTAGATGTAGACAAATAGAAAAATATGTAAAAATCATAATTTAACATTTTTTTACTAAATTATTTGAATGAATTCGGACAAATGATTAATTATAAAATATTTGATTTTTGATCACATTATTTCTATGATTATTTTATTATTAAATACACGTGAGATAGCTAAGTAAGATACTAATTCTGAAATGAATTAGTGCGTAAAAATTTTTATTTATAATTTCTTCGACTTTTTTCTATATTATTATTTTAAATTTCTATAAATTTTTTTCATATTTAAAATTTACAAAGTTTCACATAGAAAATCTCTTCTCTGAATGCATAAAAGGTACGTAAAAATAATATTAATAAAATAATGTTATAGTATAAAATATATCATACTATTGAAAATATTTTCTCAATATTTCGAAACTCTGTTTTTGTAATCTATAATCATATGTAAGGTAATTGCAATATTTTCTTGAAATATCTCTATTTTTAAAATATTTTCTCATTTATTCAGTAATACAATCTTCGATGTAATATTCATATGTTCATATTTTCATGTTATTTATCAATGCAAAATTCATATGCAAAATTCGTTGATCTCAAGGAAAAAAATTTCTTAAAATAGAAATGATATTACAGGTATCTATATAAAATTTCAATTGTTTGTTTATTTTCTCTTAAAATACACTTTACTAATACGATTTTTTTGGTTTTTTTACAACGACTATCGATACATCAGTCATCAAGGATGCCCAAAAGGATAGAAAACACTCTCGTGAACACACGAGAGAGAGAGCGATACTTCGAGATCGTGTTACCATCAAATTGAATCGTGCTTTGATTACTAAAATACGAAAGTAAGGAACGTTCAATTTTCAAAAATGATAGACTAACAGAATATTTATCCATTATCATGTATCTTTGTTTGATCGAACGCTTTATTCGATTAACATTAAATTATTTTTCTTTATTAGCTTAAAGCTATAAGAAAAATTATATTATATTTTTATATTTTTATCTATTTTCATCCATTGATTTTTTTATTAGCATAATTTTATTTTACGAAGAGAAAAACTGAGAAAGAGCGAGAGAAGGGAGGGAAGGGGGAGAAGGAGAGGAGGGAACAGAGAGAAAAAGAAAAAGAGGAGAGAAAGAGTGTAGACAGCAAAGAGATTATTCGACAAGAACTAAATTGCTCTGATAATCGAATTCATCAATTTCTTGATTACTCTTTACGATTTGACAGTATTCTTGAGACGGGTATTCTTCCACGTGTGCTTTCTATATAAAGATTATGCGTTTGATACTCAGTACCAGGGTGCTCCTCGTCCTGATGAAGTGAACTGCAAGATTCACAAAACTTTGGCATTCCAAGAATGGATCTGGACACGGAGGAAACCCACGGAGGAAACGCATAATCTTTATATAGATTTGACAATATCTTTATAACGCTCGATCTCTGTAATTATTAAACTTATTATACTAACATAAGAATTCTATTATATGCATATATAAAATCACGCTTATTTAAAGAATAAAATTTTGATTTATTTTCCAAAAGAAATACCGTTTGTACTTTATTATTATACATTATTTATTATTATACATTTTCAGAACGTCAATTTAATTGACTTAAAGGAGTTGTCATTATATCACTATGTTAATATCCCTCCATTAGCAAAATCTTATAAAAAAGAAAAAAGTTTTATCAGAAACATATGGCATAATAATAGTAAGATTAATCAGATCAGATATTCAGGATACAGAAAATGGAAGAAATTTACCTAAAAAAAAAAATTTTACCTAATTAAAAAATATATAGAATAAATAATATATTTTTATTCAAATAAATTTATAAATTTTTTGAAAGTTTTTTAGCATATTTAAATATTTAACAAACCTTTAAACGTTAAAAATATTTTTAATAATAAATATGTTTGAAATTAAAATTTTTTCTAGAAATATTTGCTTATTTTGGAAAAATCTATTTTAAGGCAACATTTAAATTATATATCTATTTTTCATATTATTTTCTAAATAGTAAATTCTATTAAAATAGCGCATTTGATTAAATTCAATTAAACTCTTATTAATTTTATTTCGAAAATTGTTCTCAAATAATTCCTTATTATTGTAACATGATTTTTAAAGCATATTATACAATTTTGTTTATAACTCAATAAGATGTCGATAAAAGACATTTCATAATCGGAATAAACGCAACGAAAAGCTGAACATGACAGTAGGAATGACGCGACATATTACAACACAATAGAATGTCCGCATACACGTAGTGTACACAAACTTCTCCCACGTGAGTTTACATTTCAAATAATTTCGGTGGTCACGAGGAGACGAAACAGTAATTGTACAACGTCATGAACGTGCACAATTTGCTGCATTCTGAATTTAAACATTACATCCCGATGATGTAATGGAGGATGCATTATCTTCCGATGTGATAACACCTCGCAAATTGACAAAACGATAAAATAAATCACGTGGACGTGATTTGTGCGTAATTGATAATGTGAATATATGTTTATATTTAGTTATTACTCGCTATCCAAATATTACTCATACTTGATCATTGCTACGGTAGCACATTGATAATTGATTAATGTTACGAGTAAATTCCATGGGACTAGGAAACGCATTAATAATACATTCGTCGTTTACATTAAAACAATTGTTTTCCACTTACTTCACGTTATATTTTGTCTAATAGATTCTGCTGTTTTTTTATCTTTCCATCTCCCTTAAATATATTTCTATCACATAAACTTTTTTATTATATTATATATAAAAGCGACTCAGAATCCAATTTACATAATATTCTTTTGCGGTAATTTCTCAGTTTTGTAAACTCTGTTCTTTCGGCTTACTTTGGGAGAATAGCGATAAAAGTTCAGTACAATAATCGACTCGCTGTGCCGAGTTATTAGTGTTATTAAGTTATTAATGTATTTTTTAACTTTAATGGTTCAAGTTGTTATTTTGTTTACGATTTTTTAGTTATAAAAAAATATTTCGGTCAACATTGAGATGTAAGACTTATTGAATCAAGTATTCCACAACAATAATCTTAGAAACTCAGTTACTTAAATGAAATCTCTATTTCACTATATTTTATGTATCACTATATTTTATGTGTAATTTTATTATTATGAAGAGTAAGTTTTTAGTTTTTAAAATTTTGTTAATTAAAACATTTAAAACGAGAATATTACAAATTATTATACTTAAGATAGAAACTAATAAAAATTTGATTAATATACATACACATAGTGTTATTTTTCATGTTATTATATAATAATATTTAACCTTTTTTTTATATTAACTTCTTACTACACAATTACCGTCATGACTTAATCAATCCTTCGGAATTGTTCAACATGTCTCATAGGTGACGTATATTGAGCCACTTTGCATTCTTGTAAAAAACGAAACTTTTTTTCTTATTTACAAGGTATATTAAAAATTTATAAATACTTAATTATTGTTCACCATTAATCATAATTGTGTGAAAATTTATAACAATCTAAAAAAAAAATTAGCCCCGCTCTACATTATAGAAATCTCCCCCATGAAATTATCAAAATGCATAAAGTAATAACGGTTCATCAACTAGTTATTGGCTCTATAATATCTCTTAAATCTCTTAAAACATTCTTATTGACTAATATCTATCTTATAACGGAACGTAATGATAGATACAATCACTTACCTGCGTGAAAAAGTAATAGTAGACCTTCATGCCGCGATCTGCGAATAATTGCGCAAAATGTGTGGATGGGCAGATAAAGAAATAATCACCCACGATATCTGCTATCGCCCTCTGATTCTGATAACCATCGTTCACTTGATCCCAATCGGTATACTGAAACAAAAATTTGTACATATTCTTACTAAACATTTTTCATTAATGTCCAAGAATGTACTTTTAATAATTACAACATAAGGTAAGGACTAAGAATACGCATTGTCTAAAAATATGCATAGTTAATATCTCGAAATAAACAATAATAAACAATAATGGTTCAATAATAATGATTATCACTATGAAAACTCTCATCAGTTAGTATTAAGTTATAGAAAATTCATAGTATTGTTGAATTATATTTAATAACTATATAGGTTAATATTTTATCAATTATTATTATATTTTTTATTTCCAGACTTTTCACTGTCAATGAAGAATATTTTCAGAAATTTTATTATTAGTTAAAAGATCCTTTATTCGTGTACAAAGTATACAATATAATTCTTTCTTTGTTATGTGATGCAGATATTTGTCAAATTTTTTGTAAGTAATTTTTTATCTAGATGCAACGCTTATAGCTCGCAGGTTAAAAGAGATTACTAGGGCATCGAGCAGTGGTTACATCGAAACACTTTGTATCGTCAATTTCTTCCAATCGAAACGGCAGTAAAGTGCGCGGCTTTACGAATTCATTTCGTTCGATCACTCGCGCGTGGGCGGGATCAGCAGGCGGCATGAATTTATCAAAGACATGAGTTCCCAGCGACCTTTACGCGCACTGTACTCGTATATATATCATCGTAAATGAAAGGTATCCTCGCACTGCCTTGTTCCCGGATACTTAATGAAATGTACATGGAACTCGAGGTTTCACGCAACCATGAAGCAGCCCTTGACAAAGCAACTTTGACGTGCCGTTCTGCTGATCGGAAAGTAATTAGCGGTCAGCTAGCAGAATGAAGCTCTTTGAAGAGTAATATTCCCTCAATACATACGATATCGATTTTCCTCGTAACTATAGCTAGCCCATTACGCACTAGAAAATCTATATAAGTGTCATATTCGTTGCAAAGCATTCCCTTTATAAGATCTTTATAAAATTTTACGATAGAATAACTATCTCATTCTTTTTTTTATATAGACATTATATATATATATA